GTGGATGTACGTAGCTAGATTACGATAAGTAAGATGAAACCCTTCGAAACATTAGCAAGGCACTGAAAGCCCGGCTATAGGTCGTGGGTCGAAGCCACACGTTAGTCGGTACAAAACCAGGACAGGCTGCGTTATAATCCTTTTTACGTACACGCTCCATGTTGCAGGCTCCATCGGCGGGTACGAGCGTGTAACGAAGCCTTTCACCTAGTGTGGCTGTGTTAGTATGTGTGCGAATGTTCCCTGTACACACCATACAACACTAAAGGGGTGAAACTTCGCTGGCCCGGCGGTTCGATAAAGCAGTTCTAACCCTGCAAAAAATTGTGCGACTAATCTCTAAAGAGAGTATGCCGAGATTACTCTCAATCGGGTATGATTGGGCATTAATTAGTCGCAACTAGTCTCATACGGGTAATAATGGAGATCAATTAGTGTCGACTCATCCCTTATGGGTATAATTGGAGATCAGTTAGTCCCCAACTCATCTCTAACGGGTACTATTAACGATTTAAGGATATGTATGCACTTAGTCAATGAAATTTCATGTGCGGCGTTGGCACACAGAGAGAGTATTCGTCTAACCAAACTGAGCAACCCGGTTCGAATCTCAGCTGGCGCAAATTTTTATTTTTATTTTTTAAAAGTGACTAGTCGCTTTTTATACCCTTTCGGGTATAAAGGTGAACAATTAGTCTCTTCATAGGACATGCTCGAACAAAAGCGAACAGTTCATTCCATATAAAGAGATCAAAAGTAGTATTAGTCGCATGTTCCTTTGCGATTGCTCGCGGAGTCATCCCGGGGATTAGTCCCATTTTTTGCAGGGAAGCGTGCGTTTGGCGTGTGCGTGTTTGTGTGTGTTGTGTGTATGTGTGTGTGGTAGGACAACTTCAATTTGAGTAAGAACATGAGAAATGAGTGACCACTTCGGCCAGGCGAAGTGCAATAAAACGGCACTGAAAGAGGCTGAAGTAAGTTACGGTGCCGAGAAAGTGCAAGTGGACGCGAGTTTTGAACTTTGTAAAAAAAGGTGCTGAAAGGTGAAGGTTGAAATATTTTTAATAGGGGTGTTCACACAACCGTACATATACAAAAAAACAAAAAAAAAGGGGTTGAATTTGCAATTGAATTTTTGAAGTTTTCAACCCGCGATTGAAGTACGTTCTTAAATTTTGTTAGTTTTTTTCATTATTCACATTTTTCTCTTTTTATTGTAACGAAATAGTTGTTTTTATAGGTTTTTGCGGTGCGCATGAATTGCAAGTACTGCTTAGTATTAAATCTTTCTGTACATGTATATAAAAGCATTTTCTTTTTATTTTGTAAATTTTATAAACTTTTTAAATACCCTGGATTTGGATTTTATAGGACAAGCAACTTGTTTTGAGTTTAGAAGATTTCTTTGTAGGTGTTAAAGTAGGCATACAGGAGCTAATAATTATATACAAAATATTTGTAAATAAAGAAAGGAAATATTAATGAGTATGCCTATGTTGTTATTGCCGTGTAAGTGAGGGATCAAGAGATCCAACATGGAGTGGTAAAGTGAGGCCTAGGGGGCGTTGCAACGGTTATAGGAGTCGACGCAACGCCCATGGCTGCGTATGCGAGGCACGCAGAGGGGGTGTGACGACTCCACCTGACTGGACAGGCCTTCTTCTTTAGCTATCACGTCTTTTTTTTGTTTATGCCCTTTTGAGTTCTTTTTCCCACTGCAAGCGGCGAGCTAGCCTGGGCCCGCAACCATGCCTGGAAACCGCCTCGCCTTAACCAACAGTCATCCCACATAACAAATTAACAAGGAAAGATCACCGTAGGTATATCAATTGCTTCATTTGAAAGATTTTCAAGAGATCACACGACTCATTTCGCCGATCTCACAGGTGGAAATAAGAACATCGGTAAGGCTCATGACACCGAAAAAGATTCGTATTCTATATGGTATCACAGTACGATTGAGAGAATACAAAGGTTGCGCCGATTTCTCTCTCGCAATTGCACCAGTGTGATGTCACATAAAAGTTATTCTCAAAAATCCTCTCTGATCGGCGCAATCTTGTATTCTATCATTCTTGGTATCACAGCGTTACTATTATTGGCCTATGTGTGAGGAGGATACTGCGCTTTAGTGGCTTCACCTTAAACCAAAAATTGTGACTTTGCAGTCAATTTTTGCTTTTAAACGCTCTTTTGCATTGGCCAACGCAAAAGTTCTTAATAGGCGCCGCGAAGTAAGCGGGCATTGGCTAATATTTAATAAGCTGAAAATGCAGATGCACTTTTGATTTTGCTTATTCAAATTTGAAATCATTTTAACAGGTGGTGGTTTGACACTTTACCAGATTTTACCAGCAAAAATTCTTCGGGTAAAATCTTGCAACTTCTGACAAAGAGAGGATCGATTTTAATAATAATAATAATAGATTGGCGTTAACACATATGTTAGTGTTCGGCCGAGCTTCTCCCCCCGACTTGTGGCGTGCGCCTTGATGTTGTCACACAAAGCGGAGGGACCTACAGTTTTACGCCGACTCCGAACGGCAATTGTATTTTAATGAGAAGCTGTTTTTCATGGCAGAAATACGCTCGGAGGTTTGCCATTGCCTGCCGAGGGACGACCGCTGTTAAGAAAAAACCTTTTAACCTTAATTTTTGGGATGTTTCTTTGACCAGGGTTTGAACCCAGGTTCTGATGAGTGAAAGCGGGCACTGCTTACCACTACACCACAACGGCCGACACACACAGGATCGACTTTACTCTCTCATTTTTCCCCTACTTCGCCAGAGAACCGAGTACGGGAACGCTTTCTGGTAAAATCCTGTAAATTCTTGCAACTTCTTGCGAGCAGCATAGCAGCAGGGTTTTTATGCGTAATTATATACATACATATGTATGCACTAGGGATGTTACGAATGTGGAATTTTAGACATCCGCGGATGCGAAAGCGGATGCGGATGTTTAAAAGCTAACATCCGCGGATGCGAATGCGAATGCGGATGTCAAGTATTTTTAAGAAATAATTTAGGTGAGTAAATTAGGTGATTTACTTAGATAAATAAAAAATGGAAATGTTACTAATTTTGAATAATGTTTTTTTCAGTACTTCAATTTAAAAATTGGAACATTGTATTTAATAAAAACTTTTAAACGGTCGTAAATCAAACCTGCACCACTAAATAACTACTAGCTCGAGGCGGGAAACTTGAAAAACTTTTAACTTTACAAAATTGTAAATTGTTTTCGATTGACTCTGCACCAGTGGACCAATTTTAGTTATACTTATTTTTTTCTTTATTGCGGTGCAATAATTCCTTTTTGAGAATTGCATCGGGGCTGCAAATGTCGGATGTATCCTCCTGACTTTCATCTTCACAACCCAGCATCATAGCAAGATCGTTGTTTAAACCCCGTTCTTTTCCAAAGAATTCTTCATTCTCATTCTTTTGGTTGTTTCTGAATTTGCCTGTCAGAATATCCTGGCAGTTTGTTTATTACCCGGAAAGGACTTTTATTTCGGAATAAAAAATATTTGGCCAAGTTTAACTCGTAAAAAGAATAACTGTTATTTTGGGTCTCTTCAATATTCGCATTCGCAAAAGATTTTTTTCTTTATTGCGGTGCAATAATTCCTTTTTGAGAATTGCATCGGGGCTGCAAATGTCGGATGTATCCTCCTGACTTTCATCTTCACAACCCAGCATCATAGCAAGATCGTTGTTTAAACCCCGTTCTTTTCCAAAGAATTCTTCATTCTCATTCTTTTGGTTGTTTCTGAATTTGCCTGTCAGAATATCCTGGCAGTTTGTTTATTACCCGGAAAGGACTTTTATTTCGGAATAAAACATATTTGGCCAAGTTTAACTCGTAAAAAGAATAACTGTTATTTTGGGTCTCTTCAATATTCGCTTTCGCAAAAGATCCGCACTGATTATTGCGAATGCGAATGTTAAAATTAATGCGGAAGCTCCGCGGATGCGAATGCGAATGCGAATATTCGCAACAACCCTGGTATGCACATAAATATTCATATACAAATGTAAGTTCTAACAGCAATGTTAATTGGTCCGTGTACATACATATGCAATTGCCTACATTATTTATCCAGACACAGTGAAGTGTCATCCATAGAGTGAAGACGTGTTTTTTTCAAGTGCTCCTGTGGAAAGTGTAAAAAATTATAACCAAGTGACAAAAATAGTGTTGAAAGGTGCCGATAGCCTTAAATTGCGTCACCATAGATCGAGGGCGCCAAGGCATCGCCTCCTAAGCATATACAGTGTCTGAACTTAAAATAAAAAATTAAAAATCAAAAACTCATAAAACTCGCTTAACTACTTGCCTACTGCTTCGAAAGCGAAGAAGGGAGAGCTGGTAAGCAATCGGCGCGATACACTTAGAGTACACAAGTACCCAGCAAAGGGTCACCGACCTTGCCAATAACCTTCTCGCTCTACTGCTGGTAGCAACAGTGCTTAAAATTACAAATACCAAACCAAGCACTGAATACCTTCGGCCTGGCGAGTATGAAGAGAAAGCGAAATAATGTCAAAAAGCGATAATGCAAACGATGCTCTCGACGCTTTCGCAAGCCGAGCGAGAATTGCGCGACCACCAGTGAGAAAACAATTACTCACACCCGATCAACCAATTGCGAGCGCACAACAACTGGAGGTAAAATCTCCGAGCTTCAGAGATGCGTGCGAAAGACATCAAAGCGAAAGTGATGGAGCAGATGAGATAAAAGAAGAGCGAGAGTTAATCATTGTGTTAGGCGAGAGCATAAGAGAGCTCATCAATATGATGGAAGGGCAGCGGCACATTAACATGACGATGAGAGAGCTAGTGAGCTCAATAGCCAAGCAGCACCAGAAAATACTGGCTGAATGTAAGGTAGTGCCACCGCCCACTGCATGCGACTCTAAAGCAACACAAACGGAGAGCAATACCAAGGAGAAGAAAAAAAAGAGCTAATGCTGGTAACAAAGAGCTGCACGCAATGAAGACTGGCTATCCAACAATGCAGCACTCCCACGTCGCTACGCAGAACGAGCCAATAGGCGCGCAGCCTATGCCATTGCAACGCGAAGGGAAAATCGGCGCAAACCAACCAGGCGTCAGTGGAGGCGATCACATAGGATCGAAAAACAGCCAATCAACGGAGCGGTGGATTAAGGTATCGGGACGTAAGGTTAGAGGTAAACCAATGAAGCCCGATGCTGTGATCTTGAAGAAAAACGGCGATATGACATACGCAGAGATGTTGAGGAAAATCAAATCACAGCCTGAACTAACTGAACTCAGCCTGAATGTTAAAAACATACGGAAAACGGCAAGCGATGAGCTTTTGTTCGAACTCAAGAAGCCGGCCAATCATTTAACCCAAAAGTTTAAGGCAGCGGTTGAAACTATACTGGGCGACAATGCGCAGGTCCGATCCCTCACCCAAGAATCACTAATTGAAATTAAAGATTTGGATGAGGTAACATCCAAGGAGGAGGTGCTGAAAGCGGTAAACGATAGCCTTATCGACGCCCATATTGGCCTGACGGCAATTCGGTCCATGCGAGCTGCATATGGGAACACGCAAACCTGCACCATGAGTCTGCCAACAGCAACTGCTTATAAGCTGCTGGAAAAATCAAAAGTCCGCATCGGATGGGTTGTTTGCCGCATAAGGGAAAAAGAAGATTTGGTGAGATGCTACAAATGCCATGAATATGGACATGTAGCTAAGAAGTGTAAGAACGAAGAGGACCGCACTTCTCTTTGTTTCAGGTGCGGAGGAAAAGACCATAAAGCAAGAGTCTGTTCAAATAGCCCGTCATGCGCCCTCTGTGCCAAACAAGGCGAAAGCAACCCAAACCATGTAACAGGCAGTCGCTTTTGTGTGGCCTTCCAACGGGCGAGAGCAAAACAAGGAGCTACTAAACAACGGCGATCATGAGGTGTCTACAGCTCAACCTCAACCATTGCCAAGCGGCCCAAGAGCTGCTTACACAAACAGTTTTCGAGCAAAATATTGACCTCGCCTTATTAAGTGAACCTTATGAAAATGAAGAACACCTAGCGTGGATAAATAATATAACAGGAAAGTGCGCGATCTGGAGCTGCAACACCACCCCGCAGCACCTTGTAGTAACTTCATCCACAAGCGGGTTCGTAAGCACCAGAATAAACGATTTATACGTCTATAGCTGCTACATACCACCGAGCACTGATCTGGCTAGCTTTACAGCCATCATCGACGAGCTAGTTTGCGACGTCAGACAGAGGAGTGCGGCGCTCGTAGCAGGAGACTTCAACGCTTGGGCAGTAGAGTGGGGATGCAGAAGAACAAACGCAAAGGGTAGACAATTACTCGATGCTCTAGCAGCACTTAATGTTATTCTGCTGAATACTGGCACCGAAAACACTTTTTGTAGGAACGGAAGGGGATCCATTATCGACCTGACCTTTATAAGCAGTGGGCTGAGCAGGGATGCCACCTGGCATATCAGCGACTGCTACACCCATAGCGACCACAGGGCAATGATAATAACCATCGAGAAACCAGCTATCGACATAGCCCCTCCCAAGAGACGCCTCGGATGGAAGGTAAAAAGCTTTGACGAAAAACTCTTCGAGGTAGCCTTCAGCAATACGCACGTTTCAGGCCCGGCAGTAGCCGCAGCACCTGAGCTCATGAAAGCCATTGTTGAGGCTTGTGATGTAGCTATGGTGCGCCAAAACCGGCATAAAGCTCGCAAGCCAGCCTACTGGTGGAACGACGAGATAGCCGCGTTACGAACACAATGTAACCGTGCCAGAAGAGTTTGCCAGCGCTCACGAAACACAGAAAATGCTACTCATCTCCGGATGGACTATAAGGAAAAGCGAAAGCTGTTTAAGAAAGCTATCTATGACAGCAAAAAGCTAATGTTTAAAGACATCTGCTATGAACTGAACAGCAACCCTTTCGGGTTTGCTTACAAACTTGTGCTCAAAAAATTTAAGCATACAGTACAGCCAACATGCCCCACGCTCCTTGCACAAATCATACACGATCTCTTTCCCGCACATACAACGTTCACGCGGGAACTCTGTGAGGAACCTACTAGTACCGTCCCGGAGGTAACGGTAGAAGAGGTCACAAGTGCGGGAGGCGAGATAGCCGTTAACAAGGCACCAGGACCTGACGGAGTACCAAACGTAGCCCTAAAAAAAGGCGATTGCTTGCAATCCGGAAGTATTTGCCAGCGTCTTTACTTCATGCCTTCGCGAAGGAATATTCCCAAACATATGGAAGCTCCAGAAGCTGGTACTCATACCAAAGGTCCAAAACCCTACTTCTTCTGCTGGATATCGCCCACTGTGCATGCTGGACTCAACCGGTAAGGTACTCGAGCATATTATAAAACGTAGACTCGAAGAGGCCACAGAGATTCATCTATCTAAAAACCAATTCGGCTTCAGAAAAAGGTGTTCAACTACAGACGCAATCGATGTAGTTAAAGCAATCGCTGAAAAGGCCATTGCTGGCAAGCGGTGGTTGGGTGGTACTAAGAAATATTGCCTGGTTGTCACCCTTGACGTCAAAAATGCGTTTAACAGTGCGAGCTGGAAGGAAATTTTAAATGCCCTCCGCGCCTTAGAGGTGCCAACTTACCTGCAGGCAATCATTTCCAACTATCTTTCGGATAGAATTCTTCGCTATGACAGCGAAAAACAAACGACTGACAAAGTAGTATCATCCGGCGTGCCCCAGGGATCGGTACTAGGACCCCTCCTGTGGAACGTCATGTACGATGGCATCCTGCGACTAAAAGTCCACAAAAGCGCAACGTTTGTAGGTTTCGCGGACGACGTATCAATCGTGGTGGAGGCCAAAACACTCAGAGAAATTACAGACATTGCGGAAGCCGCAATAACAGCAGCCAAGCAATGGTTAAATGCTAAGGCGCTAACGCTAGCAGACCACAAGACCGAGGCTGTACTTATAAGCACCCGTAAGAAAGTTGAAAAGGTTGTACTTAGAGTAGGAGATAGCGTTATAGAGTCGAAACCATATGTGAAGTATCTTGGCGTCCTTATAGATCATCGCCTATGCTTCCGTGACCACTTAGAGTATGCTAACCAAAAAGCTGCGGGGACGGCAGCCGCTCTTTCTCGGTTAATGGCGAACATCGGCGGGCCAAGACAGGCGACAAGGCAAATCCTAGCAGCAGTGGTGACATCCATACTCTTATACGGGACAACGGTCTGGAGTAACGCCTTCAAGCGCCCTTCGTATACTCGGGGTATTAGGGCTACGCATCGTCTCTGTGCTCTTAGAGTCTGTTCAGCTTTTAGAACAGTATCACAAGAAGCAGCCCTTGTTATAGCAGGCCTATGCCCACTCGACCTCGTGGCTCAAGAAATGAGCGACACAAGACAGGCAAAGCGTGACCAAACACACGCTGCCGGAACCGTGGACAAAAATGCACTGAGGCAGCGCAGCATATCCCAGTGGCAGAAAAGATGGGAGAAAGCGTCGAACGGTAGGTGGACTTATCGGCTTATCACGAACATTGGCGCCTGGGTGGAACGACAACACGGTGAGGTAGATTTCTACCTCACACAAATTCTGAGCGGGCACGGATGCTTTAAGGCTTATCTCCACCGCTTTCGACATGAAGAGGACCCATATTGCGACCACTGCGGACAAGCCGCTATTGAAGATGCGGAACACGTATTTTTCGCATGCCCCCGATTTAGCGCGCTGAGGAGCAGACTTAATCAAGCGCTAGGAATAAAGGCTTCCCCAGGAAATCTGGTCCCACTAATGTTGAAAAACGAAGAAGCATGGAAAGAGGTATGCAGCATGGCTGCTCAGGTGATGCAACAGTTGCGTACCAGTGAGCAGATGAGGCGCAGACACGAACGACAACAGCAAGAAGGGAATACTATCAACGCGATAGCCTCGATATAAGCAACGAGCCCATAAAGCCCGCCACATGAAGGGATAAGTGGCGGCACGGAACAAAAGGCGGCATTTTCATCGCATCCCTCCCCGTGAAGTAATGCCTAACGGTGGTCCCGCGGGGGGCGGAAAGTAAACAGGCTTATCCTGGTTTCGTTGGGCCACTTGAGGGTAGTGCGCTACCACAACGTCCAAAGAAAAGATTAAAAAAAAAAAAAAACATTATTTATCCATGAACTGTACATACATACTTGTTTTTTTTTTAACATAAGAATAAACATTAACGTTAACATTAGCACGCATGTATATGTTACATAACCCTTGCTTTGCGCTGTATTCCGTACAAATTAACAGCAGAGGGCGCTCTTATTTGTGATTTGCTGGCTGGTGAGCAGCGCTGTTACGTGGGCATGTATGTTAGATTTTCTAGGATTTTTAAAGTCCTGCAGTTCCATTTTTAAGAAGTATTTTACTAAACTTAACGTGTTATGACCAAATTTGGCGAAGAATTTAAAGAAAATTATACACAGTTTTTAAAAATTACGAAGAGAATTTTGCAAAATCGTCCGCTTCCGACAAATCTAACAAAATTCAACGAGTATAGAGATTCGCTTATAAGTTCGTACAATAACATTTTATTACACGTCAAGGGTCATAACCAAGCGTGTGAGTTTGGTGAAGTACAGGTAAAGTTAACACGTTGCAAGGATCTTTCAAGGAAGTGTTTTATTAAATTGAATTGTCAAATTAAAATTCCACTAGTGAGCCTAACGTTCATTTGCAAAACAGACTTTGTTGACTCTGAATCCGAAGAAGAGTACTCCGACGCAAAATCGCAAGCTTCAGTAAGCTTTTCTATGAAAAGAAGCACTTCGCTTCCAAGCGTCAAACATTCGCTAAGTGTATTAGAGATTCCAGCAGTTGCTACTAGCTAACCTAATTTTTCAGTGTATTCCAAAGTTTTTACAGATATGGCCAAGGCAGAGCAAAAGAAATCTTTTATAAGCCTTTGCGCTTCGATTATTAGGGAAAATTATAATGGGGATCCGTTAGCGCTCGAGTCGTTTTTAGATAAGATTAGCTTGATTGAGGACTTAGCTGAAGAAAATTAGACCAGTACATTAATTGCATTTTTGAAATCCAAATTAGAAGGAAAAGCCCGCGAAGCCATACCACCACAAATAAATTCTGTTAGTGATATAAAATCTGCTCTACGCAATAGAATTAAACCTGACAACTTGAAAGTTGTGGCAGGGAAGATAGCGGCGTTACATGTTAATAACAATTCTTTTCAACAATTATTCAGACTTTGCCAAACGCGTTGAAGAATTATCCGATTCACCTGAGCGGTCGCTAATTATAGCTTCAACAAAATTTTCATATTCAAAAGACGTAGTTGCAAAACTGATCGTAGAGCAGACTAATGAGGTGAAGGAGCGTCAGGTATTGACTTTCCGATCGCATGGTAGTAACACATTTAGAAATTCACGTGGTGGCTATCGTGAGGCTAACCCAACTCGCAATTATAGAAATAGCAGGTCATCTTCTTCTAATAATAATAAAATCAATAGTTATAGCAATCAACGATTTCGATCCGCTAACAGAAACCGCTATCATAATGACAGCAATGGTGCACGGTTTAATTCCAACTAAACGATTTTTCTGGAACAAAAGGCAATTACTGCTTAAACTTAAATAATTCAGATTTCATTCAATTAAAAATTTCCGGGTCTAAAAAACTATGTACGTTTCTGGTCGACACGCAATCCGACATTCCTTTAATTAAAATCTCAAGTTTTTGCAAGAATTTTTCAATTGATACGAATGATATTATCCACGTCACGGGCGTCACTTCAAACACTTTCATGTCTGGGTAAAATTACGACAAAATTGACTTTTTCCGACTTTTTTATAAAACATACGTTACATGTGGTTAATAACGAGATTGACATCCCTGCGGACGGTATATTGGGTAAAGACTTCCTGAAAGTCAATAAATGCGTTAT